CTCCCCCCTCTTCAAATATCGCCAAACACCTTTTCTCCCCGAACCCGAACAGGCTCCTGTCTGTCGAGGCCTGGTTTCGAAGAGGTGACTGCCCCTCCTGACGGCGCCCAGCCACTTCAAAACTCACCCGAACGAAAGAGAGTGAACAAGAAATGCTACGCCACACTCTCATCATATTCCTGATTTTATTTTACACCACTTTTTAGCATTTCCACTGCGTAAAATTCTTTATAAGCTACTAATAAATACATCAGTGCAGGTTTGAGAGTAAGTTTGCACCGTGCCGAACGAAGATTAAGCAGATGATGAGGTCGGGTTTCAAGAACTGTCACACAAGCGGTCTATTTACGGTCGTTTACTGAACAGCCGAGCCACTATGCCATAATTGGTTTATGATGAGGTTCCACGTTGACGCGTTGGATAGGAGCACGTGGAGCTAGAAAGGATCGTTATTAATCAATTTGCACCCAAAAAGGCGCTACCCATGAGAAGTTGATAAAAAGTTAATTTTAGGTTCGCAATTCGACACCGAATTGAGGCGAATTAGTTTATTCCGAACGAATCAGTGTGGCGACACCCAAATACGTTGGCGCTGCCAAACTGCTACCGAAGCGTCCCTGAACTGCCCCGAGAGGGCGTTTTGCAACATTTTGTTGCCATTTGTAATACAAATTTGCGTCTTCTGGGTGCGCTCAGAGTCCTCCCCGCGCGTGTCACTCCGCTGGTCGCCGCCGGGCAGCCGGGCAGGATGAGGTCTTATTATTGGTCACGGATGTGACTTTGGCCCGGTCTTTCTAATTTGCGCAGCCCACGACGGATTTTCATGAGCCTTTTTTCCACCACGCCGCCGCGCCCCCGCCGCTCTGGCAGCCGGCCCAGCCCAGGAGTGTTCCTCTGTCGCCCCGGCCGGGTCTTCGCGCGGCTAAACGGCGCTGGTGTTATTGGAGGGCGAGGCGTGGCGGGGCGGGTGGAGAAGGGATGATCGCGCCATTCACCTCCAAGCAGATGAAAGAGAGATTCAGAAAAAGAAATGCAAACTCGAAAATAATAGTTGCCGTGCCGTGCGTGTGTTATTGCCCCTGCGTGTCTGTGTGAGAAAGAGTTGGAGAGAGAGAGAGAAACCTATTGTGTGAAAGCGAAGCGGAGGGTCCTTTGAACGGCTACCGCTCAAAGCATGCCACGTGCCCCGGGAATAGGGTTCAAGGGGTTGTTGTTGTGCGAAGGAGATAGAGAGTGAGAAAGCGAGAGAAAAGAATCGTTTTGTGACTTGGCGGGTGGCCAATATCGGCTCTGCGGAGGGTCAGAGGTGGTTTTCCAGTGCCTTGTGCCTCGCGCCGCCGGTGCCAGCGCCAGCTATTCGAGGCCGATAAATTAAACAGCGACTCACAACATTTCATTGTTATGGTTTACAACGCTCAGATGATCCCACTCAAAGAGAGTATTTTCGGTCGCGTGAATCAGCCAGAACTCGTAACCGACGAACAAATACAGCCATCACACGACTCGCCCAGACGCGCCACGCCACCTCTTGCACAGCAAGCACTCTACTCTACGTGGGGCAACCACGCAAGTTCCAACTCAAGGCCTCGACGAACACTGACTGAACAAATCCCTTGGTACCGTAGTTGGTTAGATAGCGTTCTAGTTAGTCCAATAAGGTTCCTACTAACTATGTCTCGTATGCCATGTGCTAATCTTATATCCCAGGAAAGCTAATACCGTGTAGTTCGAGGGAAGGTCATATTATGTCCTGTCTTGGATATCAGCTTTCCAGGATATGTTCACAAACTTACTGTGACTTTGAGAACGGAATGATTCAAAAATAATTTTTAAAAACGCAACCCCAAAAGATTTTAATATAATTTTCTATAAAATAATTTGCACTCAAGTCGAATGGAACGTGAACATGCTTGTTGTGTCTTGTGCCCCTGAAGATCCGCAGTCGTTCACGGCTCGGCTCGAGCCCCGAAGGCGGCCCCAGTTTGAGTGGCCGCCGAGGAGGACTGTGGTCCCCCAGGAGGCCCGTGTCCGAACCCTCCCCCCTCTGCCCGCCAGCAACACAGGTAGCGTAGCGAGAGCGTGCGTGTAGCCTCTCCTCTCACTGCATGGACCACACTACTTAGGACATTTTCACATTTTGTTGTTGTTGCTGTTGGTTAATGGTTGGTGTTTTTTTATGGTTGTAATGGATAGTGTTGGTTGATGGTGGTCATTGCATTGTTGGTGTATTAATATATTTTTAATTCCTGTTTTTTCTTTTTGTGTTGTGTGGGTTGTGGGTGATGGAGATGTTTCATTTTTGAATGTCGAGCTGACTTTTTTAAACAATAGGTTGGTAGTTGGAGAGTGAAGCAGGAGTTTTACAACCTCTTCTTTCATTTTTCGAGAGCCAGAAGCGCCGTGTCGTCTGGTGTAGATTTTTCGTAGACCAGCCACGGTGTCTCTGGGCCCTCTCTTGCACAACTGTCTCCTTTCTCGTGCGCAGTATCCAATCCGCTGTCGCATTGCTTAAAAATAGCGACATCCTCTGACGAGCGGATTTGGATACGTGCTCTTCTGTGTGATTTCATGTTTTATGTTGGCTTCTTTGCTCTAGCTAGTTGCGGTTGGAGTGTACTTAGTGTGCCTTCCCATAGAAAGAAAACTATAAATTACGAACAATGTTAATCAGCATTTTGTAGCACTTTTAATTGTGGTAACTAGAAATGTTAAAGTTTGTAAAGTAAACTGTCTTCTTTCCACCGGCGACGGCGAATAACTTATTGTTGACAAACCCATCAAAGGAAATGCTGCTAAACATTAGTCGTCATCTAAGTTTTCTTTGTAATTTTTTATCTTTTTTTGTAATCTAGAGATGTAATGTTGGGGTTGGGGTCAGTTTTTAAGGCACCCGCGGGGGGGCCTGCCTCGGTCCACTGCTCTGGCACTTAGTCACCCGGTGGTTGTCGTCTCCCTCCCACGCTGTCGGACCCCTGCCATGCGCAAGGGGAGGGGGTAAGGCGGAGGGGTCAGCGAGGCAGGAGAGGAG